GTCACTAACGTAATTAAGAGAAAACTCAGAATTTTTTTATATCAAAAAAAACTATATACAATAAATAAATATATCACAAAAATATAAGATTTCTTAGGATTTTAATTATTCAAAAACCACTATTAAACAATATCAGGATCTTTCAACTCTTATAATATTGATCAACTTTTTCTTTAAGTGTTTTAGGTATCTTTAATGTAGACAAAAGATCTTTAGTAATTTTATTAACTTTTTTTCAGTTGCCAAGAAACTTATTTCGTAAGAAGTTTGTATTTGTCTTCTACCTAAATATCCAAGGTCTTTTCGAATCATGTAAGTATGCTATCATTAAAAACAACACATTTTTTAGTTACGAGTGCAATTAAAATTATTTTTTTCCAAAAAAAAAAAAAGTTTAAATATTTAAAGAAACATCAAATAACCATATTCTGCATGTCTTTTATTTTTTTCAATTTTAACATTTCTTTTAGAATCGTTTTTAATCTTTGATTTTTTTCTTTTGATCTTTGATTTTTTCCTGATTAACGAGTTTTAACATTTCATATGCCTGTTATAGCTCCTAAAAAAAGTGATTACAATACGTAATAATATCAACCGTAATCAAATGCGTGAAAAATATATAAAATTAAGATGGAAAAAATGTATCATTTACTAAAAAAAAAAAAAAAACCTTATTGTTTCAGTTTTTTTTAGTATTTTATTTTGTATTTGATCTTGCTAATTTATTATTTGCGCAAAAATGAACCACGTTCAAATTAAATAATGAAGTATTAAAATCCTAATGATAAATAAAAAAAACAAGTAACTTACTGGTCACCAGAGTTCTCACTTTATTTTTTAGAATCACGATTAACAGAAGATAGAAGAATTTCACATAACTTTTTTCTATTCCGTTAAATTATAAATTTTCACATTTTTTTTTAAAGAAAAATGCTCTAGGTTTCTTCTTATAGAAAATAGTTAAATTTGAATTGCTTCTTTTTTAACGACGTATTTAGTAGACTTGTTAAGGTGGTGAGAGTTGAAATAAGCAGTTTAGTAAGGAAAAGTTTGGATTTTAGATATTAGGCAGTATGATGTTGACAATGATATAGTATGTTAGATATAATATAATATAAATATATACATATTATTTTTGCGCTCTCATAAAAATAAATCTAAATAAGTTTATATATTTGTTAATTACTTTCCGTTCCACAGTAATTTTTTAAATACCTTGATGGCAAAGTTAAACGACTTAAAAGTTGAAAGTTTAGAAAGTATGAAACAATAACAGAATTTATAGACACGGTTTTCTTTTGAGCCCATGTCTCTAAGTAAGTTTGATATCATGGGAAATTCTAATCAAAAATAATATTTGATAATTTCTTTTAAGAACTTCTGTTAAATCTCAGTTATTTGATAAACATTAAATAGTCACAACGTTTTTTAAGAATCAAATATCAAAGTTTTTCTACAAAATTTAAAATTAAAGGAATCTTTTAAACAATGTTTTTTTGACCATAAAAAGTTTGTAAAATTGATGAATACTTTTGTTACACTTTTATTAATAAAAAGCAAGGAATTTTGATATTTAATTCAAATATATTAATTAGTCACACAAACTTTTAAAATACTGTCTGATTTTTATTTTTATAGAAAATATGAAAGTCAATCGATATAAATGTAAATGCTTTATCAGTAAGTTTAAAACTTTATACTTATTTAAAAAAAAATTTATAATATATACATGCATATTAATTATTCAAAAAATTATAGAAGAATTATAGAAGAATTCAATTTATACTTCTTTAAGGAATTCAAACATTACCCTTTTTAACCCCCATTTTGATAGCATCAAATTATGATTACTTTTTTACAGATTCACAACTATATGTAAGGTTTCTTATGAAACGTGGTTTCTATTCATTTTTTTAATGTTTAAGTGCATCTTTGCTACGATTTAGTAAAGAAACTTAAATAACTTTGTTTAATTATAGTATAAACGAAGTAATTATATTATAAAAACATCGTTTTGGGAAAGAATAAATAATATCCTTGTCATGCAATATTTTTTTTATAAATATTGGGTTAGTTATTTTCAGTTAAAACTTTAAGCAAGTTTTTTTTAAATGCATTATATATGTTTTTGCTCGCTCTCTCTTACCTATGCTTATAACTCAATATAATCAAAAGTTGATTTTGAATGCTCTGTTGCACTCAAAAAATCTAAAATTTCAGTTTTTCGAAATAAACTTAGTACTTTTTTTTTTATCTGAATAATTTTTTATTTAACGTGTTTTACCTAGGCGCCAAGTATTTGCTTTAAATATGTCAACAAAAACATCTGGAAAACGTAGAAAACTAGAAAGTTATTTTAGATCTTTTTTATTGCTAAATTTTTTTTGGAAAAAATTTGATTTTTGATAATAATATATATATATATATATATATATATATATATATATATATATATATATATATATATATATATATATATATATATACATATATATATATATATATATATATATATATATATATATATATATATATATATATATATATATATATATATATATTTATATATATACATATATATATATATATATATATATATATATATATATAAACAGAGCTTTGTTTAGGAGGCTTATTTGCTAATTTAGCGGGCCATTTTCCACGATATTTTTTTTTATTTTGTATTATTTATTGGAAAAGTTATTAGGAAAATTGGGGCCCTTATGACAGGTTTTTTTTTGAATGGGAAGGGGGTTTGTATCTAGTAGCTACGTGCTACGGCACTATATATAAGTTACATACAATATCAAAATATTTACAAAATAAACATAAAATTATAATAATTTACTAGTTTTATATAGTTTTTTTTATCAGTAACTAAAGGAATGTTATAAATTTATTATATGAATCACAATCATGTGCTTATCTATTACAAGTACATTCTAAGACGTTAAAATATACGTCGGTTATAAAATTAAAGATTATAATTATTTTTTATCTGAAGAGTGTTGGGAGAAACTGTAACAGTTTTATAACATATTAGAAATAATGTACGTGAAACCTATAAAATTTAGAACTAACAGTTAAATTTAATTTTTTTACAGCTCATATTGAAGCAAGATATTGTGTAAAGAGGTTTACAAAGAAGTCGTTTTAACAACAATGGAAGAACTTCCAATTTCCGTTATAGCGTTCGATACATGATTAAAGAATCGTTTAAAAGTTTACTTAATTTCGACAGTGTATTTTTAATTACTATTTTTTTGAAATAAACCAATCAAGTTATATAGAAATTTCCTTTTTTCTCTAAATTTTAAACATTTAAACGTAGGTTTTGAAGATTTGCAATGGGTAAACCTCGTGGGACTCTTACGAGATACCCGGCGGGTATACCCATATGGAACCCATAGTAAAACCACGGCCAAGATCCGGCGGGTTCTCGATGGGTTGCCCATATAGGTCCCATTTGCAAACCCAAATGGGTCTTTAACGGTTTTAAAGTACAAGATTGGACTGGGACCCATACGGAACACCCGGCGGACTTCCTTATATAAGACCTATATGGAAATGGCAGCTATAATCCGGCGGGATACCGTTGATCTTCCCATACGGAACCCAGTTGACAAACCGTATGAGCCCCGTACGGTACCCGTGGGTCTATGTTGGCTGGGAAGTGTTTCTCACAAAAATATACATTTTCTTTGGTTATTCATTCTTTTAATAATCCATCTAATGGACGGTACATAGCAAAACAATCAATTAACTTTTTTCTTTCAAATGGTATAATATTCATCTTTTTTTGTAGATATTTGAAATAGTTGATCTTCCCATACGGAACCCAGTTGACAAACCGTATGAGCCCCGTACGGTACCCGTGGATCCGTTGATCTTCCTATACGGAACCCAGTTGACAAACCGTATGAGCCCCGTACGGTACCCGTGGGTCTATGTTGGCTGGGAAGTGTTTCTCACAAAAATATACATTTCCTTTGGTTATTCATCCTTTTAATAATCCATCTAATGGACGGTACATAGCAAAACAATCAATTAACTTTTTTCCTTCAAATGGTATAATATTCATCTTTTTTTGTAGATATTTGAAATAGTTGATCTTCCCATACGGAACCCAGTTGACAAACCGTATGAGCCCCGTACGGTACCCGTGGGTCCGTTGATCTTCCCATACGGAACCCAGTTGACAAACCGTATGAGCCCCGTACGGTACCCGTGGGTCTATGTTGGCTGGGAAGTGTTTCTCACAAAAATATACATTTCCTTTGGTTATTCATTCTTTTAATAATCCATCTAATGGACGGTACATAGCAAAACAAACAATTAACTTTTTTCCTTCAAATGGTATAATATTCATCTTTTTTTGTAGATATTTGAAATAGTCGAATGACCTTATGTTTATTTGTATCTCAAACTGTGCACTGTGGAAGACAGCAGTTTCTACCTGGCATTACTAAGCAATGATTTTTTTTAACAAGTACGATTACTTTAGTTCCAATGTAGTTCTAAATAGGACTGTTTAATTAAAATTTATGTGAAAGTTCCTTGATATGACTTTTAACATTCACTAACTGGAATTGCTTAAAACATTTTAGTTATATGTAGTTATAAAAAGGACTGTTTAAATGAACTATAATTGAAGTTTCTTTGATATATCTTTTAAAATTTACTTCGACGGCTGATTTGTTTTGCAACTTCATTGATCACGTGACCGAAACAACAAAAAACGATAGCTTTCAGACCAGGGTATACATCTATAGACTATGATAGCGCAGTCTTTAAATACGCTGTCATCAGTGTTGTTTTGGAGAGTTTAAAACCTTCTTTTAGCGTAATAAATTATATATATATATATATATATATATATATATTATATATATATATATATATATATATATATTATATATATATATATATATATATATATATATATATATATATATATATAATATATATATATATATATATACTATATATATATATATATAATTAAGATTTAAGAGAATTAAACTTAAGTTTATAAGTTATAAAAAAAATTAATTCTTATGATTAAGAATTAACAGAATAATATTAAACGCTTATCTAAAAGTTAAGCCAAAATGGTTTTGGGCATTGACGTTAGTTTGTGGCATGTAAACATTTATGCGTCATATTTCCTTTTGCATTTATCTTACACTTTTAAATTAATTTTCATTATGTTGCATACAAATGCATTAAAATATATAAAACTGGTAGATATATATCATTTTCACCAAAAAGATTATGCATTTATTACAATATGAATAAATAAACATTTTTAAGGCCAAATATAAAGGACTTCATCATTTTTGACCCCATTTCCCTCTTTGCCACCGATTATCTTTTTTCCTTATACCCCTTAAAATAGACGTTAAAAAATCCTGCTTCTTCTCTCCCCCCCCCCCCCCTAATTTAAACCCCCAAAAATTATTTCATCTCGCAATGATGTTTGTATCTATTTGGAGGACGTCCATTATGGATGGCTCCTTTTGTCTTTATTAGAATATATCACATAAAATTGTATTCCATATATCTTAATTAAATAGAGTTTTTATAAAAAATTGAAATTAAATCTTCTAATGTTAAAATTTCTATGAATATAATTTCTAAAGGTCTAAGAAGCAGATGAAATAACTATAGAAATTAGAAATTATCGAGAGAGGAACAAATCTAAAGTTGAAGTTTCAAAATTTCCACTCGAAGTAACAATATGTTTTGTGTTTTTTTAGTGTTGTAAATTTTTTAAAATATAATAACATAACTACAAAAAAATTAAAAACAGCTCAGGCAAAAAAGACTTGTAAATATTTATAAAGTTCACTTATATTACATACGATCCTGAATAAAACGTTATATAAATCGGATTTTTTAGATTTTATAAACAATATATACAAAAATAAAAAACATATATGTTTATATATACATTGTTTATATAGAGATGGTTAAGCAAAACAAAGTTTAAAAAAAAAATTAGTTTATACTAAAATTAAAAAATGATTTCTATAGCGTTTCTTTTTAAAAACCAACGCACTATAATAAAATTTTTAAGTGCAATAATAAAATTTTGAACTACAATTGCTATATTCACTAAAATAAAAATTTTAACTATAATAAAAATTTTAAGCAATTATTTTTAGTTATTTTGGTTTAGAGGTTTTTGTTAAGAGCTTTTAAACTTTGCGTCAAAATAACTAATTTTAACATATTCGTCGTATCATCTATTGTGCAGCCGTTTTTCAAAACGCATTTGAAAA